AACTATAGACATCAATTTTTCTTTGGCATAACTTAGTTTCAATATGTCATTTAATATTAATTTAAAAGCAAAGGGAAAAACTAAACATACACCAATAAATAATTCTGGCTTATTATTAAAACAACAATTCTCATAATTACTTATTAGTCAGATAAAACATATAAAAATATAAGCTTTCTAAAATTTGGGGACATTTTCATAAGAACTCATATAAAATAATAGAATGATCTAGGTTTTAAATGTAAATGAACTCACAAACCTAAATATGACCAGACTTGTCCCAAGCATAACATTTGGTTTCATAGGATACATGTTCTTTATAATTTCTCCATTGGTATCATAAAAGTACAAGAAGTGTCAAGGTCAATTTTTGTACTCTTCATCTTGAAAGCATCCTTTTAAATATTTATAAAGAGAGTAGAATAAAATATAAATAGCAGATGCACAAGTGTAGATTGGGATAAATAAATCATATGAGCCCAAAAATAAGAGGATTCAGAAAGAATGTAAATAGTCTTATTTAAGAAGTATTAAAATATATCTATGTATGTGATGAAATGGCCTGGTAAATCAGTTGAAAAGATTGAAGCATTAACATTAGATTTAGGCAATTTAGTAAAACATGAAGGTTGGTCAAAAAAATAGTTGAGGAAATAAGATAGTTACTAACTCTACCCTGATATTGTGAATATGAAAAAAATACTATTATATATTCTTTAAAGGAGATTTTTCTGTGTTATAAATATTCTTTGAGAAACTCAAGTGGTCTTGTGAAGAAATACATTTTTTGGTAAATTAATTACCATTGAAGTACAAATATTCATACACTTATTAACTAAAGCACAAGGCTTTATGTTAATATTTTATAGTCCTATGGATTTTTCCAAATCCATGATATCTTTTACATAACATTAGATACACCCACAGTTTCATACAGAATTAATTTGCTAACCCAAAGATTCACTCTTTCTCACATCCTTCGCTTCCTTTCCCCTAGAAACCACAGATCTTCTCCCTGTAGTTTTACCTTTTCCAAAATACCATATAGTTGGAATCTTATTAAGTAGTCTTCCCTGTCTTTCTTCTTGTACAGTATTCATTTAAGTTTTTTTTACATTTCTTGACTTTGTAACTTATTTTATTTATTGGTGAATAATGCTCCATTATGTATATATACAAATAGTCCGTTTTCCCAGTTACCTATGAAAAGTCATCTTGGTTGTTTATACTTTTTAATTTTTATTAATTTATGTATACAAGAGCTAGGGTTTAGCCAAAAGTGGGGAGAGGACAGGATTCATTGGAGACAGAGTGGGGAGCAGAACAGCTGGATCCACTGAAATCCACTGCTGAGGGGAGCAGTGGGTGAGGCAGGAGAGTTCTGCTCGCCATGTGGGTTAGCAACCTAGCAAGGCATTGAATTCATGCTGCAGTGACTAATGATAGCATGTGCTGATACTTAACCCCTTGTGCCACCAAGAAAGCCCCTGCCTTCCATGTTTTGTGATTCATTTTTATAATATGAGACTATACAAGCACAGCTGAAACATCTGTTCTGCCAGTGCCTGTCTTAATATCAAAGTATTTTGAGAACCTAAGAGAATCCTCTTTTTCTCTTTAGTTGCAGGTTTTTATTCTCTTCCCCTTATATGGAATTTAAAGAATCAAACTTTTACAGAAGAAGGTATCGCACTTTAAAGTATAGCTGCTTAAATTACTGATACACAGGTGGTAGGTGTGTTGTGCTGACACGTGCCTCACAAGATGTGATGTTATCCCTCTGAATCATGCACAGTGTTGTACTGATGCTACATAAAAAATAAATAAACAAAATTAATACACCTTGAAATATGACCCAACTATAATAGGATCACAGATTTTCTGTTAAAGTCCAAGTCCTTTATGCCTATCCTGTTCTTTTGAATCCGAATATTTAGATTGAGAGAAAGACTTGATTTCTAATGTTTGTAAACAAATCTCTTTCAAGTGATAAAATCCGAGAAAGTGACTTTTTTTGATAATATATGAGAAAATATGGTTTCTTCACCTCTGATAGTTTCAGAACTAGAAGAGTTAGAATCAAATGTTGAACATGCTGCTAATTCAAGAATGAAATAATTTTTCAGAAATGAACTGAATAATGGGGAAAATATTTCCTAATTTCATGTGGATCTCTCTAATATTCTTGAGAATAGAAAACTGGAGTATTAATTTGGATCACTCACTTATTCCAGACTTGCATTCACTACTCTGAAGGTACCCAAGAAGATATTCCATTGCCCTCAACCCATTAACAAGATTCATACTCTTGGATTAGAAGTAGGAAATTATTACAATTGTTCTTTTAGAAGCAGGAAATTATTATAACTCAGTAACATTTAATATTTTAGATATTTAGATTATCATTTTCTGCATTTGCGTTGCTATTATTCATTTTTCTTTTAGCAAATTCTACTGCTTCAGGTTGTGGGAAAATTAAATACCGATTGATATTTTCAAACACACAGCAGAAATAGGAGATTTAAAAGCCAAAGTTTTTCCTTTGTAAGAGTCAGTTTTTTTGAAAGAAAAAAAGAATTTGAAAATCAAGCAGAAAAATACTAAAAGTCAGAGCATCAAATTTATGTTTTAAATAGGATTTGAAAAGATATTGGAAGATAATATAAAAACTATCTTTTCTTTCATTGAAAGAGGCAATTCTGAAGAGAGAAGATCAAGAAAAAGAGATTTAGATATTCTCAAGAATAAGCCTTTCTCCCTGTGCATGTGGACTCAAGGTATGGATGCCATGAATAATTTCAGAAAATCTGAATGGGAGAATTTATACATTATTTACCAAAGTGTAACCTGCGAGGTTATAAATTCCACCCCCCCCCCCCCCCCACACTCTTACCCCCTGCAAAGAGCTTTATTGTTTTCATTTGCTCCAGGGCTTGGAAGAGCTCCTCGAGACACTACAGCAGAAATCTTTTACAGCAGGGCTTGCAAGCCATTTAGGCCCTTCAAAGGCCTCAGTGTCCTAGAAGATTCTAGTCCTGTTTGGCTCCAGGGCCAGCCTGGAGGTTAGTCAGGTGACAGCCATCTTCTTGAGGAGTTTTACCTCTTTATCATGGAAATGACTCTGCAGGAGGTCACAGAGCTGAAAGTTCTTGCCAGAAGGATCCCGGATATGCAAATTCAAAAGGGCCTGGTTCAATTTCTTCTGGACCAAGGCAGCTTCCATGGCCTGCAGGATTTACCGTATTCATTTCAGGTGGGCTTCTGGACTTCCAGAAGAGGGCGTGTCTGCTGCGCTGGTTTTGCATCTTGCAGAAATTCTCTGCGACCTCACTTCCCGTCCGCCAACTTGTGGAAGTGGCCCAAGTCAGTCAGAGCCACATTGCCAGAGTCCAAATGCGGCGCAGAGAGAGGTAGGTATTGGAAGCCCTCAGCTGCATGCTGACCAGGTGGTTAAAGGCTGACTCCACCTTGGTGGAATATTTCTGACAAATCTGGGGCTCGTGGTTGTCAGGCATCAGTGACTAAGTGTGGCTAAGTGCAAGCAACGATTTTGCTGGGTTGTTCTTAGCGAAGAGGGTTGCAGATAATGATACCCACAGGTTGTTACTAGAAAAAAATGGTTGGAGGGTGATCTGAGGCTGATAGAAATGGTGTCACCTAGCCTGTTCTTCCAAACACTACTGAAGGAAGAGATGGGTAGTGGGACAATCGAGCGCACTCTGACGTTGCAAGCGGTTAAAGACGATTACTCAGTGAGATCTAGAGGATAGGGAAATACTGAGGAAGTGAGAGTCTGACGTGTAGTTATTTGTGGAAAGCAAAAGCTTCCCAACCTGAGAGCCTGGGGTCTGCTGGTACTGAAGATGGCTGGTCTTAAAACAGTGAAACACAGAATGTTTGGTTCAAGTACCAAAGAAATGAAGAGCATATACTTCGAGGAGAGTTATATATGGGTGGGGATAGAATGGAACTGTATGAGGTATATATGACAAGATGTGTAAAAAGCACGTAGTTTTAGTGCCTGGCACACAGCAAGCTTTCAATTCTTATTATTTATTATCTTGTTCTTAATGATACTTTGTGAATTGCTATTGTGGATTCAGTACTTTTATCTTTTTCTTTTTAAAATTTATTTATGTATGCATACAGATCTGGGCCCAGAGGTGCAAGGACAGTGAGAGGTTTCACCAGAGACAGAGTGGGGAGCAGAATAAGCAGATAAACAAAATACACTGCTGAGGGGAGCAGCCCACGGTCAGGAAAGGTCTGCCACCTATGTGGGTCACCCCCGTAGTGGGGCATAGAACTGGTGCTGAAGAGGCTGTGGCTGGCTAGATTCATGGTACTGTGTTTAACCCGTTGCAGCACCAAGGAGGGTCCTCAGTGCTTTTATTTTTATCTGTGTTACTATGGTTAGCATTAACAAGTCCTATATTATTCGTAAATTATTCATGGTCTATTTTGAAAATTTACTCCTACAAATTTTTTATTGTAGCTTTCACACAGGCAAAATTTATGTTCAAGCATGTGTATTCCATTACCGATACATGGGGGAAAATCCATCACCAATTATTCTTCTCAATTGTCCTTATTTTGACAGAGAGAAATTATCATGAGAGAAACTCTAGATAGTTTTAATAGTTCTTTTGAACCTCAGATGTGAAGGGCGAACCATTTTCTAGATTTGCCTGTTAAAGAAATAGCCCATGAAGTTGTGGGTAATCTATTGATGGAGGCAACAGAGGAAAATACTTCTATTGAGACATTATTTTTTTTTACATATAGCTCTTTTAAATAGACTGATTATTTCTCTCTCTGATTTCACCCTTGGAAACACATATCGTTTGTTCTTTGTCATTGTTGCATGACATTCCATTTGGCAGTTGGCTTATTTTTAGCCAGACTATCAAAGTATTTTTCAACTGGATTGTCACTGCACTTGAACTTGGAATCTTGTAACGTGAGGAACTGCATTGTGAAAAAGAAGAAACTTCTAACAAATGGGAAATTATAAATCTAGACCAACTCAAACATGCACTGGTAATTATTATTATATCCTCAAATGTAACATGACTCAATAATAGTTATAGGTAATTAATATTCTACAGAAACAAGTCTTGGCTTTAATACAGAATAATAATGTAGTATATGAAGTTGTTACTTCTTTTACTCTGAAATAGCTTTAGAAAAAAACAGAATTTCTTATAAAACTAGATTAGTTTCTAGTAAGTATAATGTTATAGAAAATGTTCTATAATATGTTGAATATAGGGAGTTTAGAATTATGTCTTAGGTTTCCAGTATTTAAAATCTAAATTTTCTTGTCTAACAACTAGAGATTGCTGTAATTAAAATGCAGTAAAATAAAATGAAATAAGTCAAATATATTCTTCTATGTAAATATATTATCCAATATCAAGTGGTTTTTAATTACTACAATTCAATATGACTGCATTTTAAATATAAACATCTACATTTTTAAACTCACAACCAGTAAATTAAGTATTGTAGTATTCAGTATTTAAGAAAAAAGAGACTTAATTACTCATATGTTCTAATCTGTGGGCTTCATTTTACAAAACACTGCTATGAATCAATTCCATTTGTTTTCTTTACTAGATGAGTGGAAGAAGAAAGTCAGTGAATCTTACATTATTATAATAGAAAAATTGGAAGATGACCTGCAAATCAAAGAAAAAGAACTTACAGAACTAAGGCATATATTCAGGTAAAATTATCAGTTATTATTACAATGTATACAAGTCTTCATTATTTATCTTGTCTTTAGATATACTTCTGCATATTTAAAAACAGGACCTAAGTATCCTCTTATGTAACTAATCATATTTAAGCCTAGAATATGAGGTTATTCCTTCTCGACATTCATGCAGCCCTAACATAGAAATACCTCATCTATTTAATGAGTTGCATGCTCCCATTGTTAAAGTTTAAAATGAAAGAATCCTGAAGACTAACTTGAATGCCATTTGTTGCTGATCTGAGTAATCTTCACTAGAATTAGATTTTGTAAGTCATACCAGCAACAAAAAGACCTCTCTAAATGGTAGTAAAATGTTAGCCACATAGTACTCTTTGGGATATTAGGTTGAGGCCATTGTTAACAAACTTTCTGGTCTCTTACCTTTGAAAGGCTATTTCTTAGTGGAGCTGAGTATCATTCTGTTCCTGAATACTCATGTAACAAGGTATAGTATCGACTGCAGGCTTTAAGTGAGTGTTGTCCATGATAACAAGGGAAAAATAAAAAATATTAAGTGGGTGTATATATGTGTACACACACACGTATGTATGTATGGACAAGATCTTTTTATATGCATAAGCAGTCTTGCACTGAGTAACTGGAGGTATTATGTAATATCAGTTTTAGTTGCCTCACTGTTTACTTAAAACTGTCATGTTCATGTAATGGAGAACCTCATGACAAAGAACTGCTTCTATTTTAAGAGGAACAAATGTAAAGCTATGACCAAATAACATTATATTTTTCAAAATAACTCAGATATGGTATATATACACAGTTGATATAACTCAAATCAATTTATCTATCTGGAGTACATTTTATATGAAATTTGTCACTGGGTTAATATGAGTGTTCAGTTTATGATTTGGTAGAATTCATTTTTGTATTATTTGGCCCCAAATGATCAATTTAATGGTAACACTCATGATGAGACACCCTGTGTTGACTTTTGTAAGTTGTATCACATGCTAAAGTATGGGAAACGTTTGAACATGTGGTAGAGGTATGACTGGCACTTTAGTATAATAGATATATATGTACATAGTCATTTTGTTGGAAAAGATAAATGTTGAACTAATAAAAAGTCCTCAGGCTCTTACTGAACATAAAATAAATATTCTGAATGAAATATTAAATTGAAGAGATTGTCTTCAACTTTATAAAATCAAAACCTCATTTATTTTTAGTATTTTATTATGTATGAAATAGGTTAAGGCTAATTTAAACAGACATATCCTTTTAAGGATTAATTGTAACACTAGATTTGAGATGTAGTTTTTCTCATACCACACTAACAAATAGCTATTTCTACAGCTCCTGCTATACTAGCCTTTTCCTATATTTCTACTACATGTGATATATGTGACTTCCTATTTTGCTGATTAACATTAGGGGTGAGAGATAGGAACCTCTGTCAGGGGAGTATAATTCACAAATTACTGCGCCAGCTATATCCCAGGTGTTATTCCAAATACATTAAATGTAAAACTTATTCCACCGTCACCATTACCTTAAGTAATAGTGTTAATTTGGTAGATAATAAGCTAAGGGCTAGAAACATAATTTGTCAAGATCATAATATCAGTCAGTGCTGGAACTGTGATTTATAGCAACGTCTCCCTGAATCCATAGAGAAAGGCTCTCCTACTGTACTCTGCTTATTGCTTCAGGAGTTCACAGTCTGGTTGAGAACGCATATATAAATAACATTCAGAGAAGACAAGCTATGACAAGTGCTAAGTGGAGGGAAAAACAAGATGATTTCAAATACAAAAAAGACTTGGGGCTTTGATTTATTCAGTAAATTTGAAACACATTCCAGATAAAAGTCATAGTTAAGTAAAAATACAGGCAAAAATGGTGGAAAACCATGGAAAGTCTAGAGGATGTAAGAAAAACCATTGTCTAGACCACTTTATTTAAATTGCAGAAGAAAACTATGCAAGTCAGTGTAAGGATCTTACAGTAATAAAAAACATAATTTAATTTTCTTGTATTTATAAACTACATATCCTTGATATATTATTTAATACTGAGTTTCATTTGCAACTATAAAGTATGGTTCATAACAACAAGCTAGAGGATATATGCAATATCATGTCAATTATATGGTGAGTACAAAGCCTAACATACCATATATATTAAATAATTGCTTCTATTATGATTGATAAAGGTATTTTGAAAGACTGAAGATGTTATTATCAATTGTGAGTGACAAATAGTTTATTAAAACTTAGAAATTGAAAATGAAAATTGAATAACATGATATCTCAGCTATGAAAATTGCATTGAAGAACAACACTGACAAATAAAACCAAAATTCTACTAACTTACAGCTTAATTGAAATAGTGCTCACTGTCTAATATAGATAAGAGTGCTCCGTGATTCCAAGTTATAGAAGAAAAAAAAAATAGAATAAGATTAATGTTTTCAATGAGTCATTAGGAACTATAAGCTAACTACAGAAATATATTTGGGTTTTAAATGCCAATTTTTAACCACATTCCTCCAAAATGTTAAGTCTAGTCCTAGTCAAAGAAGTTTGAAAAAATGTAAAACAATGATGTTGATTGATTTAAAACTGTATTTTATAGGAAAAAATATAGCTTAATTATTTTTAAAACAAAATTTAATGAACATAGTTCAGTTGTTTCTTATAAATACAAGTCCCATTTTAGAGAGAATGTTTAATGTTTAGGTGTAGTCTGAAATGCAGAGTTTAATTTATACTCCAAACACTGAAAATAACATTTTCTACCATTGGCTTTCAACTTTATTAAATGAGTTAAAAGTGAAAATAACTTAGGAATTGAAGGAGTTAGAATAAAGTGTTTTTATATCAAGAGGATGTTATCAAAATTAAAAACTTAAAATGTTAGAATAATTCAAGATAATGCCAAAATCTGAAATAGAAATTTCAAACATTGTGACTGAGATGGATTTGACACATTTTGGACTACAGTATTAGAAGACTCATCAGAATGGATGTCAAATTCCCTGAGAATAATCAGAGGATATTTTGTAGGATGGAAGATTGGTAATGGGGTGCTAGAGACTTTAAGGAAGCTATTGAAATGGTCAATTTGCCAGAAATGATAATAACAAAGTGGAGGAGAGGATTAATCACATCCTAGAATTGTATTTTTCCAAATTGCTAGCTAAGGACACCCTACAGTGGAGTAGTTTACAGTGTTTACTAAGCTTTTAGATTTTGTGATTCCACCTTGTATCATATGAATCAGAATCTCTGGGGATGACTTCTAGAAACCTGAATTTTTAACAAGATCCCCATGTAATACTTTTGCATGCTAAAAATGTTACTTTTGCTAAAGTTTAGAAATTGTACTTCTAGAAAGTTATCCAAGTTGCTCTGAGAACTTTTTGCCTGAGGTTATAACGGTGAAGGAGTGAAGAACATGGGAATAGAAAATAGGCAACTAATATGGTCTACAGAGAGTCAAGAAAGTAAACAAATTTACAAACAAAAACAGAGGATGGTATTCTGCATTGTCTGATTCCATCAAAGCAGATAGCATCACCAGAAAGAAAGTCGATTGTGCTAAGGGCAAAGTCCTCAAGATTTTCTTTTCTCTAGAATAAAATGATGGATGACAAGGAAAGATTATAATGGAGTGATAAGAATATGAATTGTCTTAGTCATTGGCCCACACAGCAAAATTTAAAAGTTAGTCAGGAAAATTTAAATTTACTATTAGTTAAATAGTAAATTTAAATTTACTTTTGTATGTGATAACATTTCATTTAGTAACTAGGAAAATTTAGGTGTTAAATGTTAGAAGCTTGTTTCCTTAAGTCTTCTATAATATAATGAGTGCTTATGTGATGAACAACTTTGTTATCCTGTCTGACAACAGGCTTTCTCTAAACATATAGATAGCAGGAAAACTTTATGTTGCCTGAAAAGATCATACTTGACTCACAGGTCAAGTATGATATAAGTGTACACACAAGTTGGTCTAGGGTTTTTATTTGTTGTTGTTTTCATTTGTTGACAAGTTTCTGTATGGCATTCATATAATCCCATTCATTAAAACAGATTTTTCTTAACATAATGCACCAGGACTGTCAGCACAATCTTCCTGCTCTATCTCTCACTGTATTATAGTTTGTACTATAACATAGTATTGTACATAGTATATGTACTATATACCTATATACTATGCAGTATAGTATATTACATAGTATGTGTATATATGTAGAGATGGTATAGAATTAACTTTAATATAGATTAAAAGTAGTACGTCATTATCTTATTTTTGCCAATTTCTAGTAGCTTGGAATGAGAACTTAATAGTGGAAGAAGGAAATGGGAAGGGAGTGTTCCTTCATCTTTCATTGTAAAATTGCATGTACGTATAATTTTGGACATGCACTGAGATAATGGATGGGAGACAGGAAGTAATGAGGGAAAAAAAGAAGGCAAGAAAAAAGACAGAAGTGGTACAATTGAGTGCCATTGATTACTTACTTCCTCAACTGTACTGTCTCAGACCTCTATGCTTGTCAATATATTACCACTTACTACCAATATATTACCACTTACTACTAATCCTGTCTTTACTCACTAACAGGTCTGACCATTGGTGTGTATGTTTACTACTGGCAGCTTCTTTGTCTAATTTGGCTTTATATATATTTATATTTATTTGTGACATCTATTTGTATAACACTTGAAAAGAAAACAAACTGACAATTTAGTGCCTACCATATGCCAGGCATGCTAGTAGGCATTCTAGTGTGCATTAGCTCATATAATTCTAAATGTATATATGTAAAATGCTTTAGCACATTGACTGGCACATGGAAAAGCTCATAAATGTTAGTTAAATGGTTATCACCATTGTTTATATTGATACTAACAATCCTCCTAGGGTGGAATTGCAATTGCCATTTTATACCTAAAGGAAATGAGACTAATCAATTTAAACTGACTAGAGCTAGGTTA